ATGTGTGTGTGTTTTGTGGGGAATGTGGCTGTATCTGCATGATTACCATCTGTATGACCACACATCAGCATGTGATAACTGACTGTATGACAGCTATCAGTGTGAATGCGGTCTATATGAACAGAGTGTGATTATATGACCCTTTACATATTTGGCCCGGCCATCTGTATGATTACCATCTGTATGACGGCCATCAGCATGTGATTATAGACTGTATCAGCAGCTATCAGTGTGAATGTTGTATGTCTAGCAATCACAGGATGTACTTGGCATACATAGTTAATTATTTTTTTTTCTTATTTCTTTTTATTACTCAAAAATTATTATTATTGCATACATTGTCACAAATAGACTAAAAATCCCCCCAAAAAAAGTCAAAGATACGTGGAATATTGTTTATTTGAATTCTGGCGCTCTCTCGTGACGGCTCATGACGCACGCTGTGATGAACCTGTCATCTGATGTGGGCGTAACTTAACGATTGGTTTTTGCACAAATATTTTTTTTCTTCTTAAACTTGGGACTAGACATAGTCTCAGAAAAATGGTTGCAGGAATCTAATTTTTCATGGTATTTTCTTCAGAATTGAAATAGAAACTCATGAGACATGTGACTTTCAACACATTACTTTTCTGGATTGCTCCAGGACTGATTTCGTGTACTTTTATATGAAATACAAAAAAAATAAGTGCGGTACAATTTTTTTCAAGGCACTTCAGTGTCTATAACTTTTTATCTTTTTGAGCATTATCATCTCTGGATGATGGATAGTAAAGGATAGTGTAGCACACTGTTGTCAGGAACTGTTACCATTTTAAGTTAGGTAGGTCATTTTCAGCTGTGAGTCCCAAAATGGGGGATGCAGGTTAACAGGTTAAGCATAGGCAGAGCTTCTTACCGTGACCACATCACACAGCATGCATTCCACTCTTTCGAGAGCCGAACACGCTCCGTTCAAATGGTAGATTCTCTCAAATATCAGGCGAGAACAGAATCTGCTGCCACAAATGCATTGCTACGAGTTTGTTCAACTCCCTCGAGAGCTAAATGCACTCATTCTGTCTACTATCCTTCAGGTAAAAATCAAAGAACAGAGCTTCATACCATCTATTTCATTCAGTCCTGTTAATGCGTCAAAAATGAGCACATCCAACTTCCTTGTGAGTTGAATGCACTCCATCCAGCTTTTCCATTGAGAAATGCTCACAATGAGTGCATTTAGCACCTTCGAGAACTGAATGCGAGTACTTCTCACTCAAATACATAACGCAAGAGCCTGGTGTCATCAGGTGTCCTCTGACGTGAAGGCACACATTCTGAAATGCTTGCCTGGGTGTTTCATAGCAGTCGCATTCTTTGCACGTACACAAACAAATGGTCTCCTGAAGACAAAGAAGTGAATGACGTTTTACAGACACATACTCACAGTCACACCGGTAGTGACGTTATAGGCTGTTGCTGACAAATGTCAAATTCATGGACATTCAATACCAGACACAGAACTCTGAATAGGCCTCACTTTAAATACAGTTTAGTACAGGACTAGAGGAGGGGATGACGAGAAACACCTGGAACTAATTAAACAATTAACATGGGAGAAAACTGGGTCATGGAGCATGTGGGGGAGGAAAAACACACAGATAGAGTCCAGGGGCGTGACATATCGCCCCCCTCCCGGAAGGGGCACGGGTGGGAACTTGGGAGGAGGCTCGGGAGGAGGACGGACACCCAGGAGGGGGATGGCCGACAGAGTCCAGTGAGGTGACGATGGAGGGAGGAGCCAGAGAGGCAACAGGAAGGACTTGGAGCAGGAGGGGCCAAGCAGGACCCAGGCCACAGCCATGATGGCGGCCCACGGTGGAGCCGACGGAGGGAGGAGCCATGGAGGAGGAATTGCCGCCGACTCCAGGGGGCCGACCAACGGCGGCGGAGCAGGTGGTGGAGGAGCCCGAGGCGGAGACGGAGAGCAGATGAGCCAGGGTGATGGGGAGGGCCAAGGCGGAGAAGATGGCGCTGGCGACTGACGCCGAGGCGTGGATCCGAAAGGCCGTGGAGGAGCCGAAGGGATGAAGGAGCCTGACGGAGCCGGAGGGACGAAGGGACGAGGCGCAGCCGGAGGAGGGGAGGCCCGAGGCGCAGAGTGGTCGACGCCAG